TCCAGTCAACAAACTGAAGGTCAGAGCCAAACATCCTGAGATTGAGTTAATGCATTGTTAATTTAGTGACACACAATCTTCCCAAGTGGATTACACACGCATGCACGCACGCACGCACGCACGCACGCACACGCACACACACACACACACACACACACACACACACACACACTCAAAAGGACCCCCTGACCCTAGAGGAAAAAACCCAAGGGTCTGAGGGTTTGTGTGGTGATCCAGTCAACAAACTGAAGGTCAGAGCCAAACATCCTGAGATTGAGTTAATGCATTGTTAATTTAGTGACACACAATCTTCCCAAGTGGATTACACACGCATGCACGCACGCACGCACGCACGCACGCACACGCACACACACACACACACACACACACACACACACACACTCAAAAGGACCCCCTGACCCTTAACCCATCTGCTCCATTTTCCTCATGATCAATAGTAGTGCAAGTTGAGCAAATAAGCCCAGCCATCCATCCATCCCTTCAGCATGTTGTTTTCCTTCTCTCTCTGGTGATTGTGTGGAACTCTGTTGACTTTTGCATTCCTCTTGAGGACTGGAGTGATCCGTTTCATCACAGACTCCTACTTTCTAGCAGTCTAGATTACTATATTTATGCTCTGCTGGCCAACATGTTGACCTCACTTAACACAAAACAGCCCTCTGAAACTCTGTTGCTTTGTGCCATTAGCCTGTTTCATACTATTTGATGTGTCGGAAAAGTCATGAGAAAGACAGAGACAGGAAAAGATAATGATTTCCTTGAGGAATCTGAACAAACCTCTAACCCCAGTGTTAAACTGGTGCCTCAGTGGTTGTGCCACAGGTATGAATCATACCTAAAATCTCCTGTTTCTAAGCCAACATACTCAAATTTGGTGCTGGTCACTTTTAATGTTGGATTTGATTTACTTCATTTGATACACCTAAAACACACACTTAAGACTGTATTTCTTTCCATAAATAGCCTGATATTCCTCTTCATTTTCCTCTATAAAAATCCATGGGTAACTATGGTAGCAGGGATTTTGACACAGAGGAAGAGTAATCGTATGAGTTAGCAGAGGTAGAGCTACGGTCTAGTAAGTTGAGCAAAATTAGCCAATTTTAATTAAAGTTTTCATTAAAAAATTTAAATGAATTATTTTTAGCTTTTACTTGGTTAATTTATCATCAATTCCTGTGCCTTCCCTGATATACCTTGTAAAGTGAGTTTCACCAACAAAAGTAAATTGAAGCAGCTAGAAATAGTTTATTAAGGTGGCAACTGCACCTTTCCCCTCTTTACACTATTTTGTGATTTCTGACCTCTTGAAAAATAAATGCAAATTAGTTTTTTTCACTTGTTTGAATGCAGTTTCTTGCATGAACTTTAAGAATTAAACATCTCACAAAAGTGCTTTAGAGACAAACAAGTGTTATTTTACTATTTTATATACTAACGGTATTTAATATTTCTAATTACCTTTCATTTTTATATTTTAATTTTAATTGTACTTATAAAAATGATTTATTGTTTTAGTAACTGCATGTGATTATTATTATTTTTTCTTTTTCTTTTTTAGCTTTAGTAATTTTAGTACTTCAACATATTTTAGGTCAGTTAAGGCAACAATTCTAATTTGTTACATTTTCATTTAATATTTGCATTTTATTTGAGCTTTATTTCAATTAATGATAGAATGTATGGTGGCCGAGAAGTGCTAAACAAATCACAATTCTGAAAACAAAATAACAAATTACAAACGCAAATGCAAGTCTAAAAACAAAATAACAATTCAGAAAGCACAACAACAATTCAGAAAAGATTATAACAAGTCAGAAAACACAATGACAAATTCGAAAACAAAATATTCAGAATTGTGATTTGTTTAGCACTTCTCGGCCACCGTAAGAATGATATAAAAAGATAGAACGATAGACAGAATGATTAAATGACAGAACGACAGAATGACTGAATGACAGAGCAAACAATAGAACGAACAAAAGAACAAACGAAAGAATTAAAGCATCCACGACAGACAGACAGACAGACATAGATCTCTCAAACTGAATTGATCAGGGTGAGAAGTGCAGTCCATCTGATCTCTGCACTTCTCTATTGATCTGTTTATGGCATCTTTCATCTCTTATTAAAAAGACATCCATACAGTTGCAGTATGGCAGAGAATCTCTTTGTGGCATTTCAGTGTTAAGATATGCTGCTTTAAGCATGATTACCCATGAAAAACAGGTAGATTACAGCAGACAAATAGAGGGAGTACTGGCAGGAGTCATGCCTGTCATGAGAGAGCCCTCTCTGGGCAGGACTCGAGTTACAGGGATGCTGGTTAAGTATGCAGGGGAGGAGAGGATGGGAAAGGTAAACTCCAGGGCAATCAATCAGCCGGGGACCCAGGGAGGCCAGGTCAGATTGCCTGACTCCATCAGAGAGTGGTGCTGTTCACTTTCTCTGGGCATGAGGCCATGGGAGAGAAGAGAAAGAATGAGAGAGTGCTATGAGAAAGTAATGAAAAACACAGAAGGGACAAATAGAATGGTGATATGAAAAATGCAGAGACAAAAGAGTCCAAAATAAGAAGCGACACAGGGCCTGAATGGAAGCGAGTGTTGGCCTCTGCAAATGCAGCTGTACTCGTGTTGCCAACTAACATAAAGACCTCCTGTGAGTTCTGGTCCTTCTACCACCTGAGGCTAAACAACAAACTGCTGCTGTTTTTATTAGCATTGTGTCCCATGTACACTTGACACTGTTTCTGCTGCCAGAGGACAGAGAGAAATGACAGAGTGAAGGAGAGAAAGAGGCAGCTCTCTCTAGCTGCACAGTTTTCAGTCACAAATGACCTCCTTCCTTCATGGACAATCATGGCAGGTTGATCAGCCTATTCCTGCAGTGCGAATACAGGACCCAATCCAAAACTAATAACGTCATGCTCTGCACTATCTTTAAAAAAATAATAATAATAATAATTAATTAATTAAAAAAAACATAGGAATAAATTCAAAATGTATAAAAAAGCAATCTACTTTGGTGCAACACTGCACACCTGAATCAATTGGTCAGTCTGGATCTGTGACGTTTAAATCCTGTTTTGATCTTAGAACACCGCATGTGAATTCACAAGTCAAATGTGTTTAACAGTGTTATTTTTTTTTTATAATTTAATTTAACAAATAATTTACTTATTTTATTTTGCCTATATATATATATATATAGGCAAAATAAATAAATAAATAAATATATCAATCAATCAAGCTAAGTGGCTACATGAATAAATAGCTAAATAAATGTTTAAATTGCTAATAAATAATACATAAAAATACATAAATGATGTGATTTAAATATGATGATTAGTATAAATACTGCTAAATAAATTACTAAATGGCTAAAATTGTTAAATAGCTAATAAATAGAATCAATAAATATACAAATTATGTGACATATTAAATATAATGGACAACATAAATGACTAAAATTGCTAATTAGCAAAATAAACAAATAGCTAAATGGATAAAATGACAAAGGAAAAATAAATGGTTAAAAAGAATGAACAAATATTATATGATTCAAATATAATGATCAAAACAAATAATTTGTTAAAATTGCTAAATGGCTAAATAAAATAAAAATAAATAACAGTATGCTCATTTTTACTACAAGAAGTACAAAGTGGCTCAATTCACCTCTGTTCATCCTTTGAACATCGACTGGATCAGGAAATACTGTAGAGCTTACGTTAAGCAACAAAGCTCAAGACCGAAACTATCAAACATCTCAGGAGGAAACGATACATGCACAGGCCATTTGAGCACATGTCTCACTGTCCAGCACTAATGTAGCTCTCACTTTTACAAAAGCAAGAGAGAGCGAGAGAGAATGAGAGAGCGAGAGGGTGAGAGACAGATAAATGTGAGATTTTAAGCCTGCCTGACCTTGGGCAGCCATGTGGCAAACGCTATGCCCATGGCCCGTCGCATCTAGAGCACTCAAAAGCCCTGAGAGAGAAAGAGAGACATAGGCCCTGAATCTCTACACATCCCCTCACTCTCCCTCTCTTTCCCCTGCACTTAAGAGGGTAATGCTGCTTTTGGTCTGAAACACTGCCAACGTCTGCTAGACCTTCTCTTGCCCTGTTGCTCCTTAGTGGCACGGGTGATGTGTACATGTGTGTGTAGAGTGTTTTAAGACCTAGATGTCATTGAATATGGAGCTGTGGAGATGTGAGAAAGCTTGAGATCACAATGCCGCACACAGACACAGACACAGACACACACACACACACACACACACTCCTCTGGGGTCCTCAAAAGAGGACAAGAATCCAATTTTCAATTTACAGTGGAATGGGAAATGTGGCCATCCCTTGAGGGCCTGAAGCATCCATCACCCTCACTTTCTACACAGTGGGTGGAAAGGTGGCCGTGTACAAGTATTTGTGTTTACGTGTTTCCATGTGTGTGCACGTGTCTGAGATCCATTAGTAGGAAAAATGTGACTTATTTGAATTACTCTAAATGAGAACATATCATGCTACATGCCTCTTAAATGGATTGTCCACCCAAAAATGAAAATTGTGTCATAATTTACCCTATGTCATTCCAAATCTGTATACATTTCTTTCATCTGCAGAACACACACACACACAAAAAGATATTTTGAAAGATATTGGTTACCAGTTTCAGCTGCCATTGACTTCCACTGTATAATGGAAATAATGGAAGTCAATTGGAATGGAAACTGTTTGGTCACCAACATTCTTCAAAACATCTTACGTTCCACAGTCCAAAGAAAGTCATACATGTTTGGAACGACATCAGGTTGAGTACATAATGACAACATTTTCATTTTTTGGGTGTACTATCCCTTTAACAAACATCTAGTACACATACCGTACTTCCTTTATATGATCCTCAGGAGTTTGTCTACATACAGGTGTACAGGACAGTGCGTAGCCATGCAAAGTGCAGGAGGGTTTTACTCACATGCTGTGAAGCACACACCAGCCACAGTGAGGATCTCCAGATCCCAGACACTCTTTACAGGATGAATACTGCTCGCAGGCCTCCACTGGGACACGGGTCAGCTGCAAACAGAGAAACAGAGAGAGTAAGTTATGTGTGGAGTGAGACTTAAGTCTCTCTTAAGGTGTGTTCACACTGACTACAACATTGGAGGCGGACAAGTTGAACTCATCTCAACTGTGCCTCATCGTAAAGGCTCATACTGTCAAATCTCATTGAAAATTAACACCTTCCGGTCGTTCAATGAAATGTGTGGATAGAACAACATTGCTCACAGTTTTAATTCATCTGTAATAGAAAACTATTGTCTCCTGGGATTTAAAATGAAGACTTACTTTTTTATATTTTTTATATTTATCTCTCTAAAAACCATTGTGAAACTGATAATAGCCTGTACTTTAACTCAAACAGAAAGCAAAGATACTTCCAGAAAGGCAAAGAACATATGGTTCATGAGAACACACATGTACACATCGGCTAAATGTGGCATTTTGTCACACACAGCGGGATAAGGATCTGCTGAGAGAGCTCATCCTGGGTCATCAACTCCAGCTAGTGCATCTTACCGTTTACAGCCAATTAACACTTGAGAGAAGAAGAGGCACTGTGGAGCTGTCGGGAAACATACAGGGCCAAACAGAGCCGAACCGAAGAAGAGATCTGCACTGAAATACACATGTAAGAGCCATTCCTGTCTCCATGGATATGGCCTGGAGCCCTCAGTTTTCTTTTGCTTTGATTGATTACTTGTCACTGGTGGATGACTACTGTCAATCACAGCTTAGATGACAGGCGATAGGTCCAGAGCGGTCAGGCAGGACGAATGACAGACGACATCATTACTGGCCTCACCATAGTGGCATTTTTATTTTTTAAGAAATCAATTTTTTTCATTTCAGTCAGGCTTGAGAGAAAGACGGCATTTTAAGATTGAGAAGATTTGACTATAACATTTATATAAGAGCAGAGCAACCGGAATCGCAGTGAATCACGGCTCATATTTAAGCATTTCGCTCTTGTTCTGTTGTCAGTGCTCATCCATCAGCGTGTTTACTTCTTGCTGTGTCTTGAAGTTCTGTCAAACTATTTCTCTTTCTGGAACATTCTTACACATATCTCAGTGACATTTACGTGAAATAATTTGGACACATGACACAAATGATACAGAGTTCAAAACAATGCAGAAAAACTAAATAAAAAATGTCATGATGCCTATTCAGGTGGTAAACGTTTTGAGATAGAATGTGAGGCCATTTCAGCATTCATGGAGTGATTTAATCAGTGCTTTCTCAAACTACCCAACAGAAAATTCCAGACAGATTATCTACTGCTTTTTTACAGAGGCACCTGATATGATTAAATACTCCCACTCAAACTGACATCTCAGAGTGTACAAGGAGAACAAATCATTCTGAAAATCTCTTCTTGGCCACTGCTAAATGCCGTTGGACTACTATTGGCCACTAATGACAATTTAGGCATTTGGCACAATGGAAATGAATTACATGAAAAAAATGACATACCCGGCCCTTCACAGAGACTGAGAGCTCACAAGAAAATAGGGAGGAGAAAAAATGAAAACCCTATTGGGTTCATAGTCAAAATGCACAATTTTGGAACTGTGTCATATGACTGTGCAAGTACAGGTCAAAATTTTTTTTTTTGATGGGCAATAGAATTAATTGAAGGCCAAATTTAAGTTGAATGTAACTGTATAATCCAGAGAAACATTGACTGAATTACGTCACATTATGTTTTTTTCTTTTGTTACAATAAGAGTTTGAACACATTAAGAGTTAAATTACTCATCATAGCTCTGCAAATAAAGTTTTAAACTGGTCTTTTGACACAAAGACAAGATGAGAAATTTCTTTTACTAGGCTCCACTGTGTAAAAGCACATCCAATTAAACCATATCTATTGTTGCCCTCTGATTTCTCCATCCCAAAGCATCCTTTGGAAGAGTGCTCCAGATGGCACGATCTCACTGCCATGTACAAGAGTGAGGTTCTAAATCCAAGAGAAATGTAATTTCTCTCGTCACGCACACATGATGCCTGTCAGCTGGTCTTGGTGCCGCCACAAAGCCCCCCGTTTTACCCCGGCTGCACACCTGAATTCCCTTCCTCCATTTCACAGCTATGAAGAGGTAAATTATCAGGCATTGTGATAGAGCGCTTGCCTTAGCATAGGGGGCCTGAGAGACTGCAGGTTAGGCTTTGGTGAGCAGAGCGGGAGATTGACTCTCATTACCTTTAGAAAATGATAAGGGTTTAGGAGCCGCCTGTGAAATTCTCCCCTCTGATTCGTCAGTTTTTTTTCCCCTATTTATGAAAGAGATTGTTGCACTTGTGGAAAGGTCTGTGTCTCACTCTCTGTGTGTGTGGAGTGTGTGTGTGTGTGTGTGTGTGTGTGTATGCAAGAGCTTTCAAAGCATCAGATCTGTATGCAACAGGCAAACATGACTGATAATTATTTTTTTTAATTAATAAGAGCAACTGACAGATTAAATATATAATCTCAGGTGTGTGTACGGATATGTGTGCGTGTTCATACTTCCTCCATTCAGCTCGGCATAAACCCTATCATCACATGATGTGAAAAGCAGGCTATTTTTAGGGCAGAAGCAGAGCCATCTGTCTGCACACCTCTCTTTTAATAATAATACTGATAATATGAGATTTTCACATTTTCTGTAGAATATGAGAGTGGTGCCTGCCCGTGCAAAACCCACCGCCACAATGCTAGCATGTTTGATAGGGTATAGCAATGCTGTTGCTAAGGTGTTGTGAGTGGTTTGTAGGGTGTTGCTAGGATAGTCTGGATCGTTATTGGCCCAAAAAAACGTATGGATCAAATTAGGGATTGCGTCATCCTAGGTAGCACACACTGTAATATGCCATGCACTTCCTGTTAGATGCAGTGAGCGCATCTATGAATAGCGCACTCCGCTGGTGTAAAGAGGATGTGCGCTCTCTGCCATCTGCATCTTGTCTCAGCGGCCCAGAACAGAGTGTGCTTTAACACACTCCCCATGGCGATATAGAGAGATGGAGACAACAGGAGGAGGAAGAAGACAAATGTATCCAGAAAGAGGACTTCCCGCTACCCCCCCTCAGCTGGAAAAGGAGCGGCGCCGACTCAGGAATCTCATTATGTCATAAATCCGTTAGATTATTAGTCATTTATCCGAGAGCTCTGTAAAAGGATTGAGACCAGCAGATAATGAGGCAAACTGACAAATGACACTGCTCAACAGATTAATGCAGCTGTTAACTCAGAGAGGGGCATCTTTCGTTCTCTTTCAAAAACGAACTGCCTACGAAGACAGCATTTTAAGGTATTATAGGCTCATTCTTGATGATAGTAATGTTGTGGAACAGAGTGCACACCTGTGTGAGTGTGCATGTAAATTAAACTATATAAGAGCTTCCACAATAATGACTATTGGATGATACACTGCGTGTCAAATTAAAAGTGGGATTCTCATCACCTGTTTTGTAATACCAGGTCATTAAAGTCCACTTTAATCAACCTACTAACCTAATCAAACAAAGTCCTCTTCCATTTCTCTCTCCTCATGAAATCCGTCAGTAAATCCCACAGACCTGACTGACTGGCAGAGTTTCTCAGTTGTCTCAGAGCTGATCTGTGGTTTATTATAGAGTCTAATCCACTGGGCTCATCTGTAGCTCAATGCTCCTCTGCTGGCATTAACAAACTTCCTCTGACTCACTAAAAGCCAAGGCAAAAGTTCAAGGCATTAGGGCTGTGAAGGTGGCAGATTTTTACCACCGCGGTGGTAATGGACCAACTACCTCGCAGAACACTCCACTTCACTTTAGCGCCAGGCGCGAGTCAAGTGAGTGCGGAAACGGTACTGTGCTCGAAGCGCGTGCTCTTCAATTGCACGCACAAAGGCGCCGGCGCGCGCTGTCGTCTGCATCCTTTCATATCAAAGCGCGAAATAAACTACGTGCATGCAATGCCGTGGTCAGTTAAATCATGGAAGTTACCAAAAATGCGATTAAAGCTGCATTAAAACTGTGCATGCGTGTAATATATTTTATATTAGTCACATTTAAGAACATGTCTCTGAAATGGTTTTCAAAATTGTCGGCAGTAGACAACCGCGGTGGCAAGCGACCACAGCCCTACAAGGCATACAGATGCTGTGCTAGCTTGAAAGGTGACAATACATGGCTGTGGTTTAAAACCTTGTAAGCTGCCTATCTGGACAGCATTTTTGGGCATCATATGCATGTTTAATTAACAATCAAACAAAACGTTTGAACTCACCTAAGATGGCTAAGTTGGACAATTACTCAGATTTGAGAAACAGCCTATATACAAGGCTATGTACATGTCTGACTGGGTGAGGTTTTATTAATTAATGTCTAAATGAAAAAATTCTGGAAAGGTTTCTGTAAATGTTAGGTTTATGGGTAAGGGATAAAAATATATACATATTATTATCTCAGTATAAAAACAATAGACGTCTCCACCAAAAAACAAAACAAAATGTGCATGAGACCGTTGCCATTGTCAGTGGCATAATGTCGTGTTTGCAAGAAACAATGAGTCGCAGAATCAACGGGGAAGAAGCAACATTGTTGTCTTGTGACAGAACAATACCCAGCCAGTCATCTGCTGAACAAACATTAGCTGAGCTTCAGCCAATCACAGACAAGCTCTAACATTGCTAGGGATAAGAGAGCAATAAATAAATAAATAAATAAAATAAAATGTTTAAGTGACAAGCACAAAAACTTTAGCTAACACCAATAAAAGCACACACTCATATTTAAATGAAATCTTCCCTCAGACTTTCGTCAATCTTCCCTAACTTTCTGTATTTTCAAAATTTTGGATGTTTAACCACCAGTGAAGCAGAAGACAGATGACAACATCCCATCATAACTGATTTATGAAATGAATCCATCAATGTCCATCTTAAATGAATCTCACTGCTAACGTACACATACACAGAGCCTGGCTGACGAGAAATATCGTTGT